TAACTTTGAACTCACAATCCTCCTGCTTCAGCCTCCCGAGCCACTGGGATTATAGGCATGTGCCACCGTACCTGGCTGCATCCCCAGCTTTTTTCATTTTTTATTTTGAGACAGGGTCTGGCTAAATTACTGAGGCCGGTCTAGAATTTGTAATCCTCCTGCCTCAACATCCTGAGTTTGGGAAAAACTTAAAAATACAGATTCATATTGATGAACTCATCATATGAAAAGGTAATAGTAATTCTTTCTCATACGAGGGATCAAACCCAGGGGTGCTTAACCACTGAGCCACATCACTATCCCTTTTTTAAATTTTTAATTCTGAGTACTTGCTAAGTTGCTAAATTGCTGAGGCTGGCTTTGAACTTATGATTCTCCTACCTCAACCTCCTGAGTTGCTGGGATTACTGCCTTGCACCACCGCACCCAACGTTATTTTTTTTTTCTTTAAATGAACACCCTAGAAGACATAGCTGTGGATGACTTTTGAATTAAAGAAAGGAACAAGTTTGAAGGTAGTAATATTTTCAGTCCGGATAATCTCCAGAAGTTAAAAACACTTTCTTTGAGGGCTTCAGGTCATGCTTCTGCCAGCAAGAGGAGGATTGAAAAGGGAAGAGGGGAGGCAAATAGATGCAAAAGAGAGAAAGGAGAGAATGAAAAAAGACGGGGAGGTATGAAGGAATAGAACAGAGTACGAATTGATGAATTGATAAGGAATTATTAGAAATGTACTATGTCTTTTTAAAAAATATTTTTTAGTTGTAGATGGACACAGTATCTTTATTTTACTTACTTATTTGTATGTGGTGCTGAGGATTGAACCCAGCTCCTCATGCATGCGAGGCAAGCGCTGTACCCCTGAGCTACAGCCCCAGCTCGTTGTACTATGTCTTTGTATGAAGTTGCTGTATTGTGGGTGTAGCCAGAAAATTTAATGACAGAAAAAACTAGATTGAAGGAAGAATAGTACGGGAAGTCTATAACAGAGAAGTTAAAATTTTGTTGTGCATAGTTTTACTTCAATATGGGCAAGACCTTATTATGATCTTACACTTGTAGTCCCTCATCTTCCTACTTCTTTGCCTATATCTCCCGATACATTGAAGTAACTTTTAACTTAATTTTTTGTTTTGTTTTGTTACTGGGAATCAAAAATCAAGCCCAGAGCCGGGCTTGGTGGCGTGCACTTGTAATCCCAACAGCTTAGGAGGCTGAGGCAGAGGATTGCAAGTTCAAAGCAACTCAGTGAGACCCTGACTCTAAATTAAAGATATAGAAAAAGGCTGGGGATGTGGCTCAGTGGTTAAGATCCCCTGGGTTCAATCCCAGTTCAGAGGGGGGAAAAAAAAAAGAAGCAGCAGCCCAGGACCTTCTATTAAGCTATGTCCCCAACCACGAAGTAACTCCCTGCTGCCCCATATTGCGATTTAAACTTAGGGTAGGTCTTGAGTATCCAAGGCAAGCGTTGGATCACTGAGCTATATCCCCAGTCCTTTTGATTTATTTATTTATTTTTGAGACAGGGTCTTGCTAAGTTGCCCAGGTTAATCTCAAACTTGCAATCTGCCTGCCTCAGCCTCCCTGGTAGCTACGATAATAGGTTGGTACCACTGTGCTGAACCAGAAATAACTATTTTTAAAAAGTTTTTGAAGTTTTGGTGGGTTATCTTTATGTTTCAATAAAAATAGGCTTATATTGCTATTTGGGGGTTTGCTGACTGGGTAGATATTGTATATTAAATTCCTTTATCACCGGTGGGGATGTGACTCATCTGCCTCTGCACCCTCATTCTCACACTTACACTGCCCTCCTCCATGAGTCCATAGAATACCTCTGCAACTTCAAACCATCTACTTTAGTTTTTCATTAATCATATTTCATAACATATTTTCACTAATCTTTTTGTTTTAACAACCATTGAGATGAGGACAGTAACATTACTATCTTGTAAATTAATTTTTTGTTTATTTTATAGAGGGTGAGGCAAAATGGAAATATTTTGGGAAGCTTCTCATTAATCTTCAGTCATAACTTGGATGGGTCATATGAGTGAATCCTTTACCCTTAAAGTTGACATATACTCTTGCTCTCTTTTTGTGGTACCAGGGATTGAATCTAGGGCCTCATGAATGTTACACAGAGCACTCTATCTCTGAGCTATATCCATAACCCTATTTTATTTGATGACTTTTTCATTTCTGCAACTTTCAATCTTCCTGCTTCAGCCTCTCAAGTAGCTGGGATTGTAAGTGTGCGCCACTGTGCTGGGGGGCATATACTTTTTTTTTTTTAAATTCTGTATTGGGGATTGAACCCGGGCTTCTCTACCAGTGAGATATACTCCCAGCCATTTTTATTTTGAGCCTGAATTGCTCAGGCTGTCTTTGAACTTACAATCTTCCTGCCTTGCTCTCCCAGGTCACTGAGATTGTGGGCATGCACAATGACGGCTGCTAGACATATATTCTTTCCCCCTACATTTAAAAAATTATTTTTAGTTGTTGATGGACCTTTATTTAATTTATTTATATGCGGTGCTGAGAATCAAACCCAGTGCCTCACACATGCTTTGCAAACGCTCTACCACTGAGCTACAACGCTAGCCCTGCCCTCCTATATTTTTTTATTGGTGCATTTTAATTGTACATAATGATGGGATTTATTGTTACATATTCATGCGTGTACACAATATAACTATAATTTGGCCAGTATCATTCCCCAGTGTTTTCCCTTTCCCTTTCATCTAACTCCCCCAAGTTCCCTTCCTTCACTCCACTGATCTTCCTGAGATCTTTCAGGAGAATCCCTTTTCGCTCCCTACCCACTACTTTTCCCTTCTATTCACTAGTCTCCACATATCAGAGAAAACACACGTCCCTTTATCTTCTGGGTTTGACTTATTTCACTTAACACAATTTTTTCAAGATCTATCCATTTTCCTGCAAATTACACCATTTTTTTTCTTTTTGACTGAATAAAACTCCATTATGTATAAATATCACATTTTGTTTATCTATTCATCTGCTGATGGACACCTAGGTTGGTTCAATAGTTTGGCTATTGCAAATTGTGCTGTTACAAACCTGGGTATGCACGTGTGGTGACTAATTCTTCAGGGAAATACTAAGGGGTGGTATAGCTGGGTCATATGGTGGCTCCATGCCTACCTAGCCTTTGGAGAAACCTCCATACCCATTTCCATACTGTTTATAGGTTATACTAATTTACAGTGCCACCCAACATTGTAAAAGTGTTCCTTTTTCTCTACATCCTCTCCAGCACTTATTATTATTTGTATTCTTTTTTTTTAAATTTTTTTATTAGTTGCTTAAAACATTACAATGATCTTGACATATCATACATTTGATTCAAATGGGGTATGAATTCTTATTTTTTCACGTGTACAGATTGCAGCATTGGTTAACATTGGTTATACAGCCACGTTTATACATACAGCCATACTAGTGTCTGTTGTATTCTGCTACCCTTCCTATCCCCCCTCCCCTCCCCTCCCATCACCTCTCTCTACCCAATCTACTGTGACACTTTTCTCTCTTTTTTTTCTTCCCCCTCACACCATCTTATATGTAATTTTGCATAACAATGAGGGTCTCCTACCATCATCCCTGCAATTCCCCTTCTCTCTCCCATTCCCACGCACCTCTCATCCCTATTTAATGGCAATTGTCTTCTCATGCTTTTCCTCCCTGCTCTATTTTGAGTCGCCCCCCATTATATCAAAGAAGACATTCGGCATTATTTGTATTCTTGATAACTGCCATTCTGATGGGTGTGAGATGAAATCGAAATATAGTTTTGATTCGCATTTCCCTGATTGATAGCAATGTATTTTTGTGTATTTGTTGGTCAAAGTGTCTATTTAATTTATTTGCCATTTTTGATATGTACACTTTAAAGAGGCAAAATGCCAGGCTAATGAGAAAAAACTTCATAATGACTTCACCCATCTATAAAAGGGTAGAATGAAGTGCATGTTGTAGGATTTGGGGGGGGGGGAATAACAAAAACTCCAAGTTGACAGGATCTAAATTATTCTGTGACTCAGCAGTGGGATCTAGGTTTTCCCTGTAGCTTTTTCACTTAAGACATTAATTAGCCTAATGTTAACTTAAATGGATTACATAGTGAAGGCATTATTAGAATGATTTCTGGATATAAATGAGCAGTTTTCAGGCCCCAAGGCGCCAGTTTATAATCTCAGTTCCCAGGTAGGCTGAGGCAGGAAGATCACAAGTTCGAGGCCAACCTGATGAGTCGTCTCAAAATAAAAAATTTAAAAAGTGGGGGACAGCACTGGAGATGTAGCTCCGTAGTACAGCGATCCTGAGTTCAATTCCCAGTACCAGAAATAAGAAAGGGATGGGGATGTGGCTCAAGCGGTAGCGCGCTCGCCTGGCATGCATGCGGCCCGGGTTTGATCCTCAGCACCACATACAAACAAAGATGTTGTGTCCGCCGAAAACTGAAAAATAAATATTAAAAAAATTCTCTCTCTCCAGAAATAAGAAAAAGCAGTTTTTACTGTTCCTTAAAGAATATGAGATAACGCATACAGAGGAGCCTTTTACTGTATAGATTAACTATGTTCGGGAAGAAATGGGTGCTTTCAAATCCAATCCTGATCTTTAGGATTCCAAAATCTTCACATTCAGAGCTTAACTTTTGTTAAACAGTTATTGAGTCAGTTGTTGATGGCTGTGATTTCCACACAATACTGTCTTTGCCACCAAAAATGTTGGTGATATGTCAAATCTTAAAAGAATGCTTCACTATTGAATGGAGCATTTTCTTTCAAACAGATGACCATGTTCCACAAATTTTGATTGTTGGCAGCTACCAGATGCCGTGATTTCAGGTAACATCCAGGACACATTTTCCTTCTTCGATGGAAGAAGGATGGTGTTTTTGACTAAAGCTTAGAAAACGTATAGTTGACTATCCAGGCATCAGAAATAATAACTAATTTCATTTTTTGGGGGGGGTGTGTGTTTGGGGAATTGGGCTTATACTTACAACTGTTCTCATGTGGGTTCCCGGAATGTACTAAGAAGTAATGTACCTGGCAACTAGGGACTCTGAGAAGTTTAAGAGCTTTTAGTTGGTCCTATTTCTCTCTTCCCAGTAGGGGTGAGAAACTCACTGCCATGGACATGGTAGGCACCCATCTCTCTCTTTTCTAAGGGCTGTGGGAATATTTTTGGTTCTAGAAAAATCCTTTTCTCTAGAAAAATCTCTCCTTCTCCAGGTAAATCTCTGTTTTAAGTTTGAGCAACTCCTGTATCTGCTAATTCTTTCCTTCCATTTAGGGTTGTGAGTTTTATAAAACAACACACTTCATTCTTTTGAAATAAAGACAGTCTGAACAACAACGTTCAAGTTTTTGTACTTGTAGGCAATACTGCCACCTTGCCAACAACATTAAGAGACCAAGTTTATAAGATGCATCTTGTTAATGTGTTGGGCGAGCGGAGCATGATTTAGCGTGTGTAAAATACATTATGTCTTGGTGGCTGAGCTAATGTATAATGGGTTTTCTCCCATTAATTCCAGGGTTGTCGTGTGGAAAAATCTCGCCTGAAAAAGAAAAAAAAATCAGTACTTTTTGGTGTTAAAATAAATCCAGGGGCTGGAGCTTACCTAGCATGTGTGAGACCCTGGGTTGAGTGCCCAGCACCAGAAGTGAGGTGTATATTGTAGCAACAGCCAAAGAACAAAGTTGCTTTTTCTAGTTATTTTTTCGTAAGACATAGCTTTCCAGCGGTGCTCCTAATTTTAGAAAATGATTAATATTTCTTTATCACCGATTATATATTGTGTAGCTATCGCTACGCAATTGGTTTAGGTTTGTATCCCCGTTACATTTAAACTGTTTTTGCTCATTGTATTCTTAGCAGGTAGGGGATTGTAATTGAATGACAAATGGATGTAAATATTGGTAACCCTTTCTTGTGCAGTGTAAACCTAAAACTCCTTAAAGGAGCCTCAGTTTTCTTTGTCAAAGGGAGACCATAGGATTCATTTTTCATTAACCCCGAAATGAAATGGAAGAGTATCTAGCAATTATAAATACAGTGCCTAGCACAGAGTACATGCTCATTAAACAGTAGATTTTGTGAGGGGCACCTCACTGCGGGATCCATAGGGGAACAGGCAATGCATTTACTCTTTATGCTCCGTCTTCTTTTCGCTATTCACATGTTGCTTTGAATTGGCAAGCCATTTTTTCTTTGGCCATTTTTTTTTAATTCAAATGGTAAAATCTTGGTTCCTATCTCACGACCTAACTCCGCCGTGAGCCTAGTCATTCTAGCTGGAGCGGGATTGATTGCAAAGCCCAGGAGTGGGGCCCGGACCAGGAAGGCAGTGTCCGCTTTAAGAGGGGGGAGGCAGGGGCTCCTCGGAGCGAGCGAGCGAGCGAGTGAGTGGGTGGGCGGGTGGGCGGGGGGCGGTGCCGCAGCTCCTGCGTCAGAAGGGGCCCTGTTTTCGCACCTTCCCTGACGTCAAACCTGCAGAGGGGCTGCAACGCTGTTGCCAGTGGATGCCAGCGAGAGCCCAGTCGTGACTCGGAGCCCGCGTCTGGAGAGACGCGCTCCGGCTCGCCTC